CTAGACTTGGAGGCCCTTACGCCCTGGGACCACGTCACATAATGCCTGGTACATAGCCTACACTTAATACATAGCAGTTTCTATAGAAGTCAGTCTCCCAAGACTTTGACTACCTGGATTCAATTCGTGAGAGTCTAACAGCCCCTGAGAAGCTGAGAAAATCTAGCTTCCACCAAAAGAAACATGAGGTGCAGCACCTAGCCTAAAGCCACCTGGAGCCGCACGCACAGCGAGTTATCAAGAAACCAAGACATTAATTCATTCGTCTCTGCTTGCAAAAATGAGAGGTCTTAGTTTCAGGACAGAACGCAGGTCAAAACTGTCACATAACTGCTACGATAAAATGAATACATTGCAACATCCAATACAAAGCGCATGAGTTCCTCAAAAGTATTCCACCATCCTAACGATGAATATAGTGGAATTAAATTGTGGTAATTCATAGTAAGTAGGTAAAGAGGGACAGAGGGAAGAAAGACGTGTAAAATTCACTGGAAATAGTAAGAAATCTGAATTACAGGGATTTTTGTTTTAAGAAGTGGAATTACAGTTTTCGTCCTGTACAGAACAAAGAACCAGGTTATCACACGGCTACCTCCCTGGGAGAGCTCTGCATTAATAGACCGCTGGTGGCCAATCAGAGCCAAAGAGGACCGGCCTCCTTTACATCCCTGGTTGGTCACACACTCTCCAACTGCAGCTCTGACCTCACCAGCGAGTCTGCAAATGCACAGCCGTCACCTGGCGTCACTATGGACAGCTCAGGACGGCACGTCCCCCAGTGTGGCACAGGGAAGGGACATTAAATATCACTAAACCACACAGTGGGAAAGTTATTCTCTTCTCAATTCTCTGATTAATCAAAGAAAGTTTCATTTCGACTAGTGTGTCTTCCAACACTTCCCTAAAACTGGTTCATCTTCCTTTCGAACACAGAGCAGGGCTCACACTCAGAATCCTTAGCAGACAACCGTGTCTACCTAGAATTTTATCATGTGATTTTACTTTTGTCTTATGATATTTTGGTTGAGTTTCATGTTGAGCAATTCATACAAGTTCCCCAAAATGTGTTTCAATAAAAGAAATTATTTGATACAAAGAAAAATACAGGTGGTATATAGATACAGCACAAATAGGAAAAGCGGTACACAAATGACAGACTTCTGAAAAATACTGGATTGGTATAATCCGAGGACAATATTCCCCACTAAGAGCATCACATTCATATGTGAATAATAGTGTCTTTTACTCCAAGTTCCAAATACAGGTGAACATTGTCCTTTGGGTGGATCAACATCCTGGCCCCTTTCAAAATCCTACTTGAATCCAAATTGATGAGATTATCAGTCAGACTATTACTATTTACTTGTAAATGACGTATTAAATTTTTTGAACTACTCCATAAAAGCACCAGAGTTTACTAAAATGTACATGCAAGGCAGATTTGGAACCCCTTGCCACAAAGCGAATGAAGACAGCCAGCATCAACGTCAACTCTTCAACGTCAACTCTGACAGTATTCTAACCGGATACCGTGATTAATAACCTCTTCCCCTGACATTTTAATGTGGGTTTTTTTTTTATTAAGTCTTCAAAGACAAACTAAATCAATCAGCAGCTGATGAACTATATAATAACAGAGCAGGGTTACTCAGCCTCAGCATGACTGGCCCTTGAACCACATTCTAACGGCCCGATGCAGGGCTTGTTCTGTGCATTACAGGACATTCCGCAGCCTTCCTGGCCTCAACTCACTAGATGCCAGGAGCACCCTCTCCCCACTTTGTGAAAATCAAAAACATCTCCAGACACTGCCACAGGTCCTCAGTTGAGAACCACTGAAGATAAAAGCCAGGTGTTACCTGAGCAGCCCCTGGTGAGTGGATGGTCCCATAAGGGAAGGGGCTTCATGTCAGCAGGAATGACCTGGCCCCCTTTGGCCTCTCTAACCTCATCTCCCACCCCTGCCCTCTCCTCCAGCCACGCAGCTCCTTGCTGTTTCCCCATGACCCCAGTCACTTCCCTGGCCGAGGGCCGTCACACAGCCCAGCACTTCCCTCTGCCGAGAACTCTGCTCCCCAAGATGTCCTCTTTGATAACTTCCTTCTTCTCAGTAAAAGCTTTGCTCACTCATCCTCTCAATGAGGTCCACCCTGACCACGTGATTTTGAAATTGCATGCCTCCCATCTACACCCCACTGTACCCTGATCTACTTTTCTATTTTTCCGGAGGATGTATCAGCTTCTGACACACAGAACATTTTCTTCCCACGGCTACTGTTTATCAGCTGGGTCCACCCCCCAATCCTCCACCATCGCACCCAGGGCAAAAATCTTTTACTGACTCCTTGATATGCCTGGCACACAGCAGGCTATCAGTAAGAGCTGCTGAATGAATGAATGAATGAATGGTAAAGATCTGTCAGGCTAGGGGCTTCCCTGGTGGTGCAGTGGTTGAGAGTCCGCCTGCTGATGCAGGGGACACGAGTTCGTGCCCCGGTCTGGGAGGATCCCACATGCCGCGGAGCGGCTAGGCCCGTGAGCTATGGCCACTGGGCCTGCGCGTCCGGAGCCTGTGCTCCGCAGCGGGGGAGGCCACAGCGGTGAGAGGCCCGCGTGCCGCAAAAAAAAAAAAAGATCTGTCAGGCTAGCTTGCTGCGCCTCCTGGCAGTGGCAGCAACACATAAAATAACTCCTGCTCTCAGAAAGAATTATCTAGAATTTACATTTCTAGCCACTGCTAAGAGGGCGAACAGGCAACTATTCACGGAATAAGGAACCACGGTCTGTGGACACGGTGATATCAGGAGCAGTCGATTATCCACAAGTCCAGGTCATCCACACACATCAGGAATCTTAAGCATTCAAGCTAGAAATGGAACATGAAGTAGGGTATGAATAATGCCTTGTTCAAATTTTTTCATTATATTTTCCTACATTTGAAAAAAAAAAGTTACCTACTCCACTCAAGAAGGCTTAATATAATACAGAAAAGCAAAGCCTTCTTAAGAAAATAATCTCTAATACCTTCAAGCCTTCTTGGCTCACTTAAAATACTTTGAAAACAACACTGATCCTGATCGGCTTCACTTGCTGCCTCCGCGATGACGGACTTTTGGCGGCAGCTGTTTTCTGTGTTTCTGCCACGTGTGAGCTTCATTGGCAAGTTTGCACAGGACATCACTGACCCTTTACCAAAAATGATTGATAATTTAAACCTAACAAAGACCAGCAAGGGAAAGGCTGAGAAGTGCGATTTGACTTGCAGGGGTAGGGGCCCCTCCTGCCACACCTTCTGCTCAGCACCCTGTCCCCAGCTGCACACCCACGTGTCCACATGTTCCCTGAACCGTAGGGTCCACGTCCCCGTGGCCCTGGTGCATCTCAGGCAGCAGCTATGGCTGCTGCCTACCCTCCAGGGGGATGGTCCAAGTTAAAAAAGCCAGCTAACCAGCTAAGAGATATAAAGCTCACCTCCATCCAACCCAAACCAGAGGGTCCTGAAGCAGCAGCCTTAAGCTCACCCAACCGAAGATGAGGCTGGCTCTACTTCAATGAGATACTGATCAGTTTACAAAGTACAACAGAATTATTATCCTTTGACTCTGATGCTAGGTGACTAAGTAAAAAACAGGCGAACAAACAAAAACCTCCTCCCTCATTAAATGTGTTTCTGGAAGCTACAACCGTGGGGGAATAAACGTTTTTCCCTTTCCCAGATCCTCCTCAACACTAACTGGTTACTCAGGGGTTATCTACCAAACACCATGCACACTGTCAGTAGAGTCATCATTTAAAACAGGCGTGGGGGGGGGGGGAGGGCTTCCCTGGTGGCACAGTGGTTAAGAATCCGCCTGCCAATGCAGGGGACATGGGTTCGAGCCCTGGTCCGGGAAGATCCCACATGCTGCAGAGCAACGAAGCCTGTGCACCACAACTACTGAGCCTGCGCTCTAGAGCCCTCGAGCCACAACTACTGAGCCTGCAAGCCACAACTACTGAAGCCCGCGCGCCTAGAACCTGTGCTCTGCAACAAGAGAAGCCACCGCAATGAGAAGCCCATGCACCACAACGAAGAGTAGCCCCCACTCACCGCAACTAGAGAAAGCCCGCGCACAGAAACAAAGACACAACACAGCCAAAAAAATACATAAAAAAATAAAAAATAAATAAAACAGGCTGGGGCGCAAAACAAGTTGGGTGAGGTTGCTCTGGCAAAAACACACAGGAGACCCTGAGCACGCGCCTGTGTGTCAGGGCTCTTCACAAGACACCAATCTGTCTTAAACCAGCCTAAGTATGAATTAACGCTTTAAGTATAATGTTAGGTGAATGTGCTTTACAGGTTCAAAGTACAATAGATACGATCTAATAAAAAGAAAGAAAAGAAATTTTCCAGGTCATTTTGCATCACAAAAAAGATCAGAAGATCTATTACAAAAAACAGAAGGCGTGTTAACAGCAAGCGTATCTCAAACGTCCTCTCCCCACCCACCAGGGTTAATTTCAGGTGACAACAGTAAACCATAACTCAACATTCGACAGAGTACTGGCGGTTCAGAGATGACAAAGGCATGGTCCCCAGACTCCAAAAGCTCCCAAGGGAACAAAGATCTTCCCACACATAACAACCCACAATACCCCGGTGGCAAGAGCCATAGGGTACAGGTATAAACAAGACAGGGAGGAGACCAGCTCTGCTTGGAGGAGGAAGGAGGGGGTGGGAGATGCTTCCCTACAACAGCAGTGATATTTGAGCTGGGCCTTGAAGATTGAGTAGGAGTTTACCACACAGGAAGAGAGAGAGGATCTGGGAAAGGGAAAAAGAACATTCCAGAGGAAGGGAAGAACACAGCAGAGGAAAGTGCACTGGCTGTCTGCTGCCTTTGGGGGGTTCGGGAAGCCAGAGATTTCTCACGAAGCCACCAAGCCCTAGCTGAGCAGCCACCCCAGAACTGGTCTGAAGTGGAAAGATGAGAAAAAACAAACACAATAAAACATGTCCAGTGAGATAACTTTATTGGCCCAGACATGAACAGAGGTAGAGACGGAGGCAGAATGTTAGAGCACGTCTATCCCGGCAAGCATTTTCATTAAGAATCCGTTCTCCAGGCATTCCCAATATTTACGATTCTCCATTCAACATGTCATCCTGTCACTATAACTCTGTGTGAGATACGCCACCCTGGGCCAGCCCAATTATCCATGCGATCCAATATTCTGTCTCTAACACAGCACTAGAGGATGATGGTTGGGAGAAAACATGACAGATGTGACCCACTGTCTGTGTCCACTTCAATATGTTAGAAGATTGGTTGATGGTGGCTGAGAAGGAGTCTAGCCTTATTTGCAAAATGCGTACTTAAAAAAAAAGAGAGAGAGAGAAAACTGTATTAATGTAGAACTTATGTAATTGATAATTCTTAGCGCTTCTCATTAGCCACTCTTCGATGAACAATAACTAAGTCTCTGCAACGCCTTATATGATTTGGGGGGAAACTAGAGTAAACCATCCATTAATGTATTATTTAAAGTGGCTTCATCCTTCTTGCTAACAGGCTTATAAATACTAATGCAGATTCTTAAATTGGGACTATTTCTAAAAGCTACACCAGACAAACCCAACCCATGCGAAAGATAAAGAACGTTCTTGCTTCTTCACTGACTTGGGGTGGGGGGGGGCGCGGAAGGTGGAACTGACCCCTGCACACGGCAGGTCTTTGTTGACTTAACTAAATTTCAGTGGCAAGCTGCGCAGGCAAACTTTCTCTGTATAAATGCCATTCTCTAACAAGACCCACACTGATTTATTAGCTCCTGTATGAGCGGATCCGTCCAGTGCATAACGTTTTGTATCACAGATCTTTGACGGCTACTGATGGCCATTACTAGCACTACGCAGCGGGCTGGCTGAAAAGACCGGCCCAGCTCACGAGCAGCCGTCCTTTCTATACCATGCATACATGGAAATTCCTCTTTGATTTGTGGCTTTAATCACGGCTTCCAAAACCCGTCATTATTTATGACTCTGACTTTCACACTGACGGTCAACGGGAAACACTGACTCGGGTCACCTGATAGGCGAGCACTCAGCAGCTCCAAGCCGCTCGTGGGCTCCACTGTGATATTATACATCTCAATTTTCCTGCCAACCCACCCAGCTGGGGACAGAGCTGGAGGAGCTGTGGGTGAGGGGGCCAGACTCTACACAGTCTGATGGATGGAAGAGCGCTACTGAAAAATGCAGCAACTTCTCCACTCAGACTTGAGGCAGATTCAAAAAGGAAAAGAAGGTTGCAAAACAAAACCCACAGCCCCTGGGGTGAGTGTACGCGCGTGGGGGGCTCTACTTTCCTACTGTTCAAAATATTTGAGACAATCAAGCAATACTGGCCAACATTATACCACTTTTCTAATGACCGCCTTGGCCAAACTGCCAGGAAGGTCGCCTTCCTCCTTCTGGAAAGAAGCAAACTCCTCTGCGGATGCACCGAGTTCCATGCCTGTCTTACACGGTCCAACCCCGCCATCACCCTCCCCTCCCGCTCTCTGCCATCTTCCCCTTTGCACAGACTCCTTCCCCCCATCCACGGTTATGCTCTCCCCTGTGCCTTGATCTTAAAAAGCAATTCTTATTTTTTTAACTGAAGTACGCCATTCACACAGAAAAGTACACAAAAAGTAAGTGTTCCACTTGACTAATTTTTTAACTGAACATGCCTGTGAAACCAGTCCTCAGCTCAAGAAAGACAATTTAACTGGCATCTCCAAAAGCCCCCCATGCTCCCTCCCACTTACTGCCTTACCCAAAGGGGACCACTCTCCTGCCTTCTACGTCAGATCAGCTAGATGGCTGTGCTTGTTTCCATACTCTGTGTAAACAGAAGCATCCAATCTCTACCCTTTTGTGTCTGGCTTCTTTCACCAACCACTGTTTGTGAAGTTCATCCATATGTGTGTGACGCTGTAGATAATTCAGTCTCATAACTGCATAGTTTTCCATCGTGTGAACATAACCACCATTTATAATCCATTCTACTCACGATGGACATTTGGGTGGGTTCCAGTTTTCGACTATTAAGAATAGTGCAACTATGACCCTGTCTTTGTGAAAATATGTGTTCACGTTTTGTGGGCAAGTAACCAAGAGTGGAACGGTTGGGCCATCCAAATCCTTTTTCTTTTTTTTTAAGGTTGTCAGAGTAGATACAAATAATGCAAAGATGTTCTGGGCTCTCTTATCCAGGAAGAAAAGCAACCCCTCCAGCTGCTTCTTCTCAAAAGGGTCTGTTTTCCTGGCTACACTGGGAGCTCCCAAGAACAGTGACCATTCCCCAAAATGCCCAATGGCCAGCCAGTGTCTGGAATACAGTGGGCGCTCGATGCATGGACTACAGACAACGTATCCTCAACTTCCCGATGCCATTCATTCTGGCCTGGCTTCTGGCCCCTGGCTGCACTGGAAAAGTTCTCACCGAGGTCACTCACCCATTGCCCTCCTTGGCCTGACCCAACTCAACCGGCACCTCCCATCTGTGCCATCTCTACGCACACCTTCCCTCTAGGTGGGAGCAGCTCTGGGATGAAGCCCAGGGTTCTTCATCCCTCTATCCCCAGTGCCTCCCACAGGCTGGTGCCTGGGAGGAGCTGGAGAAACATCTGTTACATGGATGAATGACTTTCCAAACAGGGAAAGCAAGCACTTGCCCTCATCTCTTATTTTTTTCCTCATTAGGCTAAGTGGTGTTTTGAAGCTCAAAACCACTTTCTCCTTCATTAGCTAGGTTTTGTTGCAAAATTTCTGCTTAAAAAAAAAATCTTCATTTGTGAGGTAGAAAGCCATATAAAACTCTCTTTTTAAACAGAGACAATTTCAGGGAATCTCTAATGTTCATCTGTTTGTCTCATAGGAAATGGAAAATACAGAACAACAAAAGTAAAATGCACTAACAGTTATCAGCCGGGAAGCACAGTTGACTCGGCCCACACCATGCTGACTCTTTTGTTCCTTGCTCACCCTCATCCTGTTGGGAGGAGACAGGTACATGCTTTTAATCCCCAACACACGAACAGGAAAAAGGAGACGTGAAGGCTGAACAACTTGTCAAGGGCTCCTCAACAAAGCAGGGTCTGTGCCGGCAAAAGTCAGCTCTTCAAACTGAGCCCAGTGGGAAAGGCAGCCTTTCAGGTTGGCTCAGCTAATCAACAAGACTTCTGGGTGCGAACAGAATGAAACCAAGTTTCAGAGAAAGACAAATATATGATACCACTTATCTGTGGAACCCAAAGAAATGACACAAATGAACTTATTTACATAACAGACTCACAGGCATAAAAAACAAACTTATGGTTACACCAAAGTGGAAAGTGGGGAGAGAGAAATTAAGAGCTTGGGATTAACATATATACACTACTAAATATAAAAGAGATAACCAACCAACAATGAGCTACTGTAGAGCACAGGGAACTATACTCGATATCTTGTAATAACCTATAATGGAAAAAGAATCTGAAAAAAGAATATATATATAATAAATATATAATAAAAAGAATATAAATATATGTATATACAACTGAATCAGTTTGCTGTACACCTGAGCCTAACACGACATTGTAAAACAACTAAAATTAAAAAAAAAAAAAATCCCCCCCCCGCAAAAAAAGGAAAAAAATGAAATCAAGTTTGATTTAGAACCGAGGGCCAAATCCAGCCCTGTGTTTATAAATAAAGTTTTATTAGCAAACAGCCATGTTCATTCATTTATGTGTATCTGTGAGTGCTACCAGGCTACAGTGGCAGACTTGAGTGGTTATAGCAGGGCTTCTGCCCAACAAAGTCTAAAATGTTTACTATCTGATCCTTTACAGAAAAAAAAAATTTGCCCATCTCTGACTTGGAGAATAGTCTGATGTCTGGATTTTGTTCTATTTCCCAACTATTAGCACATTCAAGTTCCTGTTCAAACTATTTCACTCAACAGGGAGGTCTTTACTTTAAAAAAAAAAATTGACAATCTTTGATTAGAGTTTATATAATAGTTCAGAGAGAAGGTTCAATGGTTTGGTTTGGGGCTAAAATTAATCTATTTTCTCTGCTTGGCTGTGGTCCTCAAGCAGAACATTTTTACAAACCTGGACTAAAGTGGGCAGGTGAAATGGAATGCATTCTGCTCTGGAGGATGTCTTTTATTCAAGCTTGAACACACACCACTCCTTCTAGCATTAAGATTCAAAGAGTCTATCTGTATCCCTCTGATTTAGCTAATCCCATTTTCAACAAAGGTCCAGATATTATTTGTTGGCACCTAGCTTTTCTCATCAACAGAAGTACACCTTCTTCCAACTTCTTTCATAGATACCTCAAAAACTAAACATTTGAAAAGAAATACACAGTCCCTCAAATACGAATAGATTCTCCAAGTCTGTCTTTTGAAGCTAAACGCATCTTACAATAACATGGCAGCTGACTTCAGAATCGAAATCCAGCTTTAAACTCTTCATGTAGATGTTTGATCATATATGAAACTTTCATCTCATTTTTAAAAACTTTCTATTAAGGAAATTTTCAAACACATGCAAAAATAGAATAGTATAACAAACCCCACACCCCTAGCAACCAGTTTCAACAAGTATAAACATTCTGCCAATTTTTCCCACGCATCCTTCTTCCCAACTTTTTGATGATTTTTTGTCTGTTGCAGCATTTTCAAAGCAGACCTCACACGTTAAATCATTTCACCCATAAATGCTTATTTATTTCTGTTAGATAAGGTCCTTCTCCTTTGAATAAAACTGTGACACCACTATCGCATCTGACAAAATTAATAATGATTCTTAATATAACCTAATACCCAGCCCAAGTTTAATTTCCCCCAACTGTCTCATTAATGTCTTTTTACCGCTGATTTGTTCAACTAAGGATCCAAATATGACCACATATTGTACTTTGTTGATAGGTCTCTTAGGTCTCTTTATATCTGCAACAGATTCCCCTCACTTTTTTTCCACCCACCACTGGCACACACTTAAATTGCAATTGGCCAAGCCAACCTTACCAGGAGTAATACCTCTTCAGCCTCCACCTGCTTTAAGCAACCCAGACGGTCACAGGACTTTAAGCCCCTGAGGCACAGACGCATCCAGCTCCACCTTCTATGTGCAGTCCACCAGGACCACCGTGCCAGACCATCCCACATACTTTCTGCTCTCAAGAGAAGGAATTTAGATTGCTTCGGCAAGCTAATTCACTAAAATTAAATCTTTTCTGTGCTGCAATGACCCGGAGACTCTGAATGATTTTAAAAGACAAGGCAGCCTTTCATTATGGCTTCGTTTTGAAGTTAGCAAATTTAATCAAGAGATCACAAAGTAAATCGGACAAGACTTGTCATCCATTATCACTACCAGTGATGACATTAATTGAACACCTAGATTATGGAGGACACTGGGTGATAAAAAAGGACGACCTATGTTCCTGCCCAAAGTGACTTAGAGCCTAAATGGAGCAGTTATCCCATCGTTTAGATAAAAAATGCCCAAAAAGGACAACAGATGGAGAACCACCACAACCAACATCCATGCTCTTGCCATTAGCTTAAGAATATTCGTGAGGTCAATCTGTGTGATGGAATAAAAAAAGCAAGACTCAGAGGAACAGAGTTGGTTGCTAGTTCTATCACTTATGACCTGTGCCATACTGGATAAGTTAGTTAACCTCTCTGATTCTCAGTTTCATCATTTGTAAAACAGGAATAATCCCACCTACTTCACAGAGTAGCAGCCCTTAACACAGAATCAGAAAATCGTATACGAGTGCCTAGCAATAATGATGATGGTTAAAATAATAACAGTAATAAAATCATTGAATATAATACTGTATGCCAGGCACCGGGCTGAAATGTTTTATGTGTATTGTTTCATCTAATCCTCATATCAGTCCTATGAAGCATCTCCAATTCTTATGTCATTTTCCAGATGAAGAATGTGAACAGAGTGAGTGATCTGCTCACACTGACTCAGCTAAAGGCAGGAAGTGGGCTACAGGACCTCAGGGTTCTTGCTATCAATCACAGCATGATAATGCCTCCCAAACACCACCCCAGTAAAGTGCAAAGGTGGGACCCAGGGCTGCATAAATTACTGGGGGGACAGGCCCTCCTATTACGGCTATTAATCTAACCAACTATATTGTAATTTCATAGGAATAGCACCCTGAAGCCCCCACCCCTGCTCAAAAAAAGAAGCCCCAGGAGGCTCCCAGAGTTGCCCTACCCATGGCATGGGTGTGTTCAGAGCCACGATGCTGGTTTTCTTCTTCACTGGGACGAGTCCTCAGCTGTCTGCTAAAGAGTGTTTATGGCATTCTTTACCACAAGTCTCAGACACCCAATATCCGCACAAACAGGGCCAAAGGAAAATCAGATTTTTTCCTATGTAATCTCTTCCTTTTTGAACACATATACAAAAAAGACAAAAGGAAGCTAGCTGCCAGAAAAGAGGTCCAAATGCCTGCCGTCACCACGCTGTGAGAAGCCCAAGCTAGCCAAGTGGAAGAAGCTCCTGGAAGAGAACTGAGGCCCTGACCTGCAGTCCCAGAAGATTTCCTGGCCAAGAGCCACGTGAGGAAAGCCATTTTGGACCTTCTTATCTTCCCAGAGTTCACAGAGAACACACGAAGCTTCTGTATCACCCAGTCAAGGCACAGAATTGTTAGAAATAACAAAATGCTGTTGATTTAAGCCACTGAGTTTTGGGGTGGTTTGTTAGATAACTGATATAGCCAGAAATCAGCTTTTCCAGCCGGGCCAAATATCGAATCTGCGAATGAGAGGTGCCTTAACAGCAGCTACAGTCCTTCCATTCAAAGATGCCTGCTGGCCGAAACATTCAGCTCTGTAAACCTGGGGCCAACACTGTACTTTGCCCCACAGTGTGAAATAATTATGAATAATGATCACAACAATAATAACGGCAGATAATATTTACCCAGCGTGTCCTATGTACAAGGCTTCACGCTAAACCTTTTATTATTTAACCTGCGCGGAAGCCTTTTGAGGTGGACTTCTATTATGCCCATTATACTGATGAGGCAATGAGGCTCCAAGTGGTACAGTGACTTGGCCAGGATCACACAGCCAGTAAACAGTGGCTCAGGACTTCACCCTCTGGCCATCTGACTTCAGGACCCATGCTCCTAAACACTGACCCCTTCAAGTGTCATTCTACTTTAATAAAGTTGCCTCCTTCTAAAAGAAATAATGTGTATAAAGGGTTTAAACTGCGCCTGACCTATGGTGTTTTCTGTAAACACCAGTTCTTGTTAGTAGGAAACTTGTAGATGGGGAAGGGAAGCGCACAGTAAGCCCCCATTAATGTTGGCTATTGTGATGGTTTGTACAGGCCTCCTTCATGAGCAGGCAACCCGGCGTTTGGTAATTATCTGTTTACAAGTCGGCTCTCTCCCTGGACTGTGAGCTCCCTGAGAGTCGTCACCGTTTCAGGTTCGAGTCTGTAGGTCCCAGGCTCCGCGCATGGCTGGCCCAGAACCAGCTGGTGCTCAAGAAATGTTTGTTGAATGGAAAGGAAATGCTTCAGTCACCACAAATGCGAACTTGCATTTCCAGGAACACCTTCCCCAGCCATCAGTCCTTAACGTGATTCTAAAGGAAAGAGCAGGAAGGGACAGGTGAAGGATACCCACCCAAGGGGCTCCTAGGGATGAGAACGGAGCTGGGCTTGTGGCCAGGACACTGGAGAAATCTGTGCGAGTCTGTGGCCGGCCACACGGGGAGCCGGACCTCCCAAACTCCCCAGCACTCTGAAAAGTCCCAGGGAAAAAAGTGGAGACCCTGGGTGCAAGCCCCCGACCCCCAAGGTGGCCACGCCTCCTCCCTCCCGGAATCACTAGCAGGAGGGCCTAGCCCTCCCGCCCCTCCCGGGCCGCCGCAGGAGAAGGAGGAGGAGGAAGAGAAAGAAAGTGACAGGAAGTCAGAAGTTTCCCAGCAACAAAAATCCTCCCCATTCTCGGCCGCCCCGCCCAGTGAGGAGGGACCGCCGCAAGTGATTAAGGCAGTTGGGGGTCCCGCTATTCTGGGCCCAACACGGAGAGCCCAGCCCGTAGGTCCCACCCCGCCTTTCGTGCACCCCGAACTCTATGAGAGGTTCCCAGGGAGGGACGGGACGCCCGAACTCTTACTTACAATCGTCTAAGTCATCCTGCAAGTCCACAAAGTACAGGGGGATCCCTGAAAACCAAGAGACACATAAGGAGTTACAAGGGGGCTGCGGCAGGCGGCCTCAGGGGCGGGCAGGGGCGGTCCCCGGGCCTCGAGGGGTGGTCCCGGCTTGGGGGGAGGGGGCGGCGCCCCGGGAGTCCAGCCCCACTCACCCGCCATCTTGGAATGGGCCTGGAGGCGGGGCCGGCGCGCGAGGGGCGGGGCCAGAGGGAGAGAGGCGGGGGTATCTGGCTTCGGATCCCGCCCCTCGTCGGCGGCCCCGCCCCCCGCCTCGAGCCTCGCTGCGCTAGCCGGCCCCGCCCTCGCGGCGAAGGTGGCTGCCGAGGTGGGCGGGGAGGTCAGGTGACCCGGCTGGCGTCCCAAGATGGCGGCAGCGGTGGCGCTCGGGAACCCGCGGCACCGTCCCGGCTGCTGAAGCGGGTCCCGCACGGCTGGTGACGGACGGGCCAGGCCAAGGACCGGCGAACGGGCGGCCGCCGCCTATACGCGCCCCGCGGCCGGGGCTAGGCCGTGCCGCGGCGGCGCTGGGGGATGCTCGTGCTGGGCCGGGCCTCTCCCTTCTCAACTTAGGGCGGCGGCGGGCCCGCTCCCCTGGCTCCCAGGCCATGGCGCTGAGGGAGCTCAAAGTGTGTCTGCTGGGGGTGAGTGGCGGCGGGCCGGCTGGGAGGGCCGCGGGAGGCCGGGCGGGCCGGGGACCCGGGCGTGCCCACGTCCCGTTTGCCCCTTCTCTCAGTCTCAGTGCGGGACGCCGCCTACCTGCCCCGGGACCCTCCTTCCAGCCCCCCTCCCCCCCCCAGGCTGTCCCGCCCACCTGGCCGCACAGTCCTGAAGGTTTTGCTGGCGGGAGGGACCTTTCCCCTCGTCCCTCCCTGGAGCCCAGGGTCTCTTCCCGCCCCTCAAAGGGTGAAGAGCCCTCCCTGCCTCTCCGTTGCATCTGGGTCAAGAGCAGCTCTTAAATAGCTTCCCCAGGTACTAGTTAGGAGTTGGCCAAGTCTTGCGAAGTACAGCCAGTAACAGGTCTTTAGGTTTTACGAGCAGCAGTAGTCTCCTTTGCCATCTGCTTGGTGTTTTTGAACTTGTGGGATACCTCTGACACTTCTCACAGTTACTTTCCTTGGGGCGGGCGGGGGGCATTCAACTCAGGAAGCCCCAAAGACTAGTTTGAAGCTTCAGCTTCCTGACTTGTCGAGGCAGCTTTGCTATTTCAGAGCATACTTTCTGAAATTGATGCTCTCTTGCCTGAGTTGCTGCCTTAAAGACTGAAAAAGGTTTCGATAACTAGTCTTCGCCCTTCCTAGATAGGGTGGGGCTAGGATTTATCAGGGATTACTCAGAAGTAGTTCAAGAGTTCATAGTTCACATAGACTTATTATAAAGCAAGTGAGTTTGTCACTTTGCACAGTAAGCAGAAACTTTGGATCTTTCAGAAGATCCTGTCTCTTAAAAACTTGGAACCCCTCTCCGACAATACATTTTGCAATCTCCTAGTTACTCCACTGAATTTTTATGAAAACCTTTTTGTGTTTCTTAACTTCTAAAATTTACCTATCTGGAATGATTTTCCCAAAATCCTGAACGTAGGGCACAAGGTAGTTTTTGGTGTACGCAAGCAGGTAAAACTTTTTCTTCTTCACCTCTCATTCTCTTTCAGGATACAGGTGTAGGTAAATCAAGTATTGTGTGGCGGTTCGTGGAGGACAGTTTTGATCCGAATATCAACCCAACAATAGGGTAAGAGATCAAGTTTATTGAATGTGCATCTAAAGGTGTATTGAAAAGTCCGTTCAAATAAAGGCTGTGTTACAGGGGTTAGGCATCCCCATTTTAAACTCTAGTGAATTTGGAGACAGTGGTTCCCATCATCTCTAGAAGAACTTGAAATGGTGGAGTGAGGATTGATGTGTTTTAGGAAAATTGTCTTTTGATTTGTGAGGAATGAAAACCTCCAAATGAAAGTATGAATTAAAGTTTTACTTGTTAGAATATACATAGAGCCTTCAATCTATGAATAGTAACAGCAATTACACCTTGAAATAAGGCAGAAGAAAACAGGCCCTAATACTTTTATTTCCCCCGGCATGTCACCTAAAAGATATTTTAGGTGGCTTTAGTTCTTCGTAAAAAATAGTTTGGGGTCCAAACCTTTCTCACACGTTCCAGCACTGCTACCTACACGTTCCAGTAGCAGTAAAGAATTAACAAATTAATGTCAAAATGGAAGCTTTTTTCCGGGTATCTGGGTCTTAGAATAAGTGAAATTGACTGGCTGTCGGTTTTCGACTCTGTGAGAAAACTTTTCAGGCTGTTTAAATATCATAATATTAATACTTTCTCTGTGAGAAGTTGTGTTTTGTGGGTGTTAATACTTTGTCGGGCTTCTAAGACTAGATAGCGACTATGCGAAGCCCCAGTCGAGGGGTTTCTTCCATTAAAGAAAAATTCCGTTCTGCCTAATCGGGAGATACCTTACAGCATACACAGACACACTTGAACGCACCAAGATGAAACAGCCACTAATCCTCTGGAATGAAAATGCCTTTCAATACCCTTCAAGAAAGAACTGGGTACGTCTACATGTTTGAAGTGTGAACTCATCCTCCTCTGGGCCTGCCTGTCACTGCCCGCATGGGAAAGTGAAGGGACAGGAAGTGATAGGTCGTGCTGGTGACTCAGTGAGTGACACACCTCACACTGGGCAGCACTAAAAACCCAAACGCCAGCCTGGTTAGCAGTGCTGTCTCACCAGAGGAGAGGGACGGTGGAGGCCTGTGGCCCTGTCCTGGGTGGCCAGCCCTCGCAGCCCCACAGGCGCTGGGGTTCTTCACCTCCCCGAGCCCCACTCTCTTCACCAGGTGGTCCAGGCGCACGTCTCGCGGGGAAGATGATCCGAGGCTTCTCCCTCGTGCCTTCCACCGTCCTTGTTCCTCTGTCCTCAGCAGGTGTCCTCCTCCTTCAGGACCAACCCCACACACACCTGAGCTCTGGAGCCCTGCCTTCTCCCCTTCCTATCCCAGCCCTGCCTTCCTGTCGGAGCCTGCAGACACGCTCCCCGAAGACAGGGCCGTGCCCCAAACCTGCCGGGCAAACGGGGGGCTCCGGAAAGAGGACTTGCTGCTTCTCCTCAGCCCCCTGCTGTCTCCATCCCACGCCACCGTCCCACTGAAACCACCTCCCCTCAGCACCTGTTTCCATCTCATTGCCAACGCAACGGCTTTTTTCTTCCTTTCTTCATTCACTGAGTGCCTGCTGTGTGCCGGATGCTAGGCTGGGGGCTGGCGGTTTAGACCAGGGCTCAGCAAACCGTGGCCATGTGGCCACCTCTTGACTTTATAGATCAAATGATGCCGTGACACATCACACCCTTTCATTTATATGTTGTCTGCACCGCTTTCGGGCTACAATGGCAGAGTTGAATAGTTGTGACTAAGACCCTGTGGCCTGCAAAGCTGAAAGTATTTACTATTTGGACCTTTTCAGAAGAGCCCGCCAGCCCCTCCCGCCCTCATGACCCTCTCCTAGAAGGACAGAGACATATTCTGTAACTAAAGTGCAGGAGGTGATTTCTTTGACCATTTTCTGCGCTCCAAAGGAGGAATGTGGAGCACCTGTGAGAGCCTGTAGCAGGAGCCTCACCCAGGCCCAAGGGCGTGACTGGTTCCTGAGGGGAACGGTGAGGGCGTGAGGCGCTTGGAAGCCCTGACATTTCAATATTGAAAGATGAGTGGACTGTATTTCGAAAAACAGTTTTTGAAGAGTGGAAGGTAATGATCGGTGGTGTTGAGGGCAGTGAGTAGCACGGGGGACAGCAGGAGCTGTGAGGGTGGGGGACAGGGCACATTGGATGGGTGGCCTGGAGGCTGGGCAGGCAGCAGGGCCAGGCCCCAGACGTTCTTTCTCTCCCTGGGTCCGTGACCGTCCCCCTCAGTCTTCTCCCCACCCCCACCCCCCTACTGAGTTCATACATGTTTGGTCTTCCCCACACTGCGTCCTCCTCCGAGCAGTGCCTTTCCCAAACAGTAAGGGGCTCTACGTATTTGTGACTGAGCTCATAAACTCCCCATCAGAGGCTTGGCCCTCTGCTCCTCTTTCCGTGGACCTTGCGGAAGAGAAAAGGACCAACATGTCCTCAGGTACCCAAGCCAGCAACCTGGGCATCCTTCTCAGATCCCCCTCCTAATGTCCCCTCCCCTCCCTGAAGCCAGCATGAGTCACCGGCTCCTGTCCAGGGCTCCTCCTGAATATCCTTCCATACCTGTTCTTTGTTGACTTCTAGACCTTCATCTTCCCTCGTGGTGGTTCCAACATGGACTCTGCCACCTGCCAGCTAGTTAACCCTGAATTCGTTTCCCCATCAGCAAAATAATAGTAATACTGGCACCAATTCCATATTGTTAGGGGAATTCCGTGAAATACTGTATATAAAATGTTTAGCTAAATTCCAGGGACACTGGGGCTCAATACATGATAGCATTGTTGTTTTTAAAAATATTTACATCTTTTTTTTTTTTTTTTTGCGTTATGTGGGCCTCTCACTGTCGTGGCCTCTCTCGTTGCGGAGCACAGGCTCCGGACGTGCTGACTCAGCGGCCATGGCTCACGGACCCAGCCGCTCCGCGGCATGTGGGATCTTCCCAGACCGGGGTACGAACCCGTGTCCCCTGCATCGGCAGGCGGACTCTCAACCACTGCGCCACCAGGGAAGCCCTATTTACATCTTTTTAAAGCTTTAAAAATTATTTTTATCAAAGTAATGTGCATGTGTTTTTTTTCTGTAACAGTAAGGCTTATAGCTTAAGTATAACAGTCCCCTGGTCCACTCTGACTCACTCCCTAGAGGCAACTACTGTGGTGATGTTGTTTAGCTGGTTTTTTCTGATCGTTCCTCCAGACTTTTTCATAACATGCATATACTGCTAACTCTTGACCCCTTCTCTCTTCTCCCCCACCCGGTCGCCCAGCTTTAGGCATCATCTACTGATCGTTTTCTTGAGAGACGGGATTAGTCATCCTACTTCTCCCGCCTCCCTCTGCTCATTTGCCCTCCCTCCATCTTTCCAGTAAAGCACTACCGCTGAGCGTCAATGTAGCGTTTAGAATGCGGGCTCTCAAGCCAGGCTAGCTGCCTTCACACTCCAGGTCTAACACGTAGTCGCTGCGTGTCCTTGAGCAAATTATTTAAGCTCTTTGTGACTAAATTTGCACATTTGGGAGAATAAGTTGCATCTCATTATAGAGTTGTGAAAATTGAGTTAAACACAT